CACAATTACCCACAAAGTGCGTTTTTATTTTATTTATTTATTTTCACGGAGTTTAATATTAATATTAGTAATATATTCACTGTGCTCCTTTTGAGGGTTTTGGAATTATTATGGTTTTGCGAGCTACACCCATCCATGGCTGTTTCCTGTTTGTACCTGTGCTTGCAAGCTTTAGTGCCCCCCAAGAGGCAACTATTAAATAAATTAAAAAAAATTCAAATGTCATATATTTAAAATGATAATATTATTATATATATATATTGAATTATGGTCTCGATGTGATCTTAGGGCGAGAAATTTACACTTTACCCATTTTAATTTATTTTTTCGAACAAACCACTTAGTATGTGGTGTTTTTTATTGTCAAAGTGTTTTGGATTTAAGCTAGATTAACCTTTAACTAAAATAAAACTCTCTGAAATTACAAGGCTTGAATTCAAATTTTATTAAAGAGGAATCATATTTCTTGTCAACAAAATAAATTTTTGCTACGCAAATTTGGAAAGTGTACCAGAAGTTCAATGCTTGGGGAGGGTGGTGCAAGTATCCTCTTTTTTCATATTTAAAAAATACTCATCTGATCCTTAATATAAGACCTATTTAATTAATATGATTAGATTAAGAAGGTTAGAAAAGTTAGTTAATTATAAGAAATATGACATGTTTTTCCTAAAACATCATAATCATCTTCCTTAATATCCTTTCTCTTTCTTCTACTTGATTATGGTTGAAAAAGCATCTATATGGGTAATTTAGAAAAAATTGATAAATATGATAAATATGTCTTATATTTAGAATCAAAATCAACTCAATAATTAGGTCCTATATTAAAAACTAGAAGAGTAATGTATTTTTGTAATATTTATTGATTATAATTGAATAATGATTTCTTTTTGTTAAGTATAAGTAGGAACAAAACTTTTTTTTAAAAAAAATTGTTTCATTCCCTTTATATTTTTCTCTCCAACATTCTGTATGGAAAAGAGCACTTTCTCATGGAATCGGAATCACTATCAGTTAAAGAGATAATATTATTTGGTAAAAAGTAAAACAATAATTGTGAAGGCTTCATGAAATTCGAAGGGCATTGATTCCCCAGAGCCTTTATGCCTTTTTTGCTTTTAAACTTTAGAGGCCATAAATGCAAAATGAATGTATAATGATATCCATACTCCTCTAATCTTATTTATAAGATAAAGAGAGAAGGTATTTTTTTGTCCTATTTATAAGATATTAAGACAAATTTTTTGCATAGATGTACAATTTTACTCCTCATTTATCATTGTATTGACTTTGTTTATATGAGATATAATACTCCTTCGATCCTTAATATAAGACTCATTTAACTAATTTGATTAGATTAAGGAAGTTAGGTAAGTTAGTTAATTATAAGAAAAATGACACATTTTTCCTAAAACACCATAATCACCTTTCTTAATACCTCATCTCCCTCTTCTATTTGATTATGGTTGATAGAGTATCCATAAGGGTAATTTAGAGAAAATTAATAAATATGAGAAATGGGTTTTATATTTAGGATCAAAACCAACTCAAGAATTGAGTCCTATATTAAGGACCGGAGGAGTATATATTAAATAGGGATAAAGTTGAAAAATCATTAAATTTTAAATGAAAGTTAATGAAATTAAATGTTTTTCTTGGTCTAAGTGAAACATACTAAAAGTGCTTTATAAATAGGACTATAAGAGTATAGCTGCCATAATCTTTTGTAGTATAGTTGAAATATGACAAATAGCATACGAATGAGTTGTCTTAGTTGGAAAAAGAAAAAGGCCATTTTGTTGGAAATTTTGCTTCCAGAGTGTGAAGTCCATAAAGGCCTTTTGCAAATGTCAAGTGGATGGTAGGGGTGGGGGAAAATTAACTTTTTAGATAAATCATTTACTACGCATAATATTATGAGAGAACATAGTAGAAAAAATTAAAATGCACACAAATAAAAGTAAAAAATATAAAGTATGCAAATAAATGGTATGAGTCTGTTCCACTCTTTCTCACAATATTACAAGATAATCAGTAACAACCTAAATCTGAGCCCGGGAAATGGAAATCATGAAAGTGAAATTTGTGTTTGTTTGGAACGGTAGTAAAGTTATTTAAAACATCTTTTTAATTGTAATTTACAGAATAAAATATATGAGAGGAGTTTTGTTTTATATTACATGCAAACAACCGATAAGCTATTGGTTGAGATAGTAGCAGACTCACCCCATAAAGAAGAGAATACAAGTTCGAATCTTAAAAAAATACTTATTGAGAGGACTATTTCTTCACCGCTCTAAGTTCGAGAAAGATTAGTTTCAAGTTTAATTTCACTTGGGTAACCTTGTTTCACCTAAAAAAAGTACATGGAAACAAGCATGAACCCCCCTCCTCACAAATCATAAAACTACTCAATCCTCCCTCATTTATCCTTTCATTTTTGACAACTTTACCCTCAAGCTTTCCTCACGCCTTCTTTGACTCAGGTGCTCGTCAATGGCACCGTTATCGAGGACCTCTCTCCGACGCCGTCACCGACTTCTATCGCTATCGTAGAGGGGCCTTAAACTTTTTTAAGGGAAGGGGTATGGGCAGAGTGGTGGGGTGAAGGAGTCAACATCCACGTGAAGAGCATCTTGCTTTTCATAGAATATGCATAAAGCTTCTAAGTTACAAACCACAACTGCCACCAAAGATAATATTATTTTTTGCCTCTTGGAGTAAAAAGTTTTATGATAAGGAGAAGAAAAAACGATGCATGGGGACATATAATAGTAAAAGAAAGATAAAGCAGAAGTTTCTTTTTTCTTACAAAAGAAATTTTAGGTGAATTGAGTCACAGTAATTCACAAGAGTCAGGGCATACTTTTAGGTTCAGAAAGAGTTCACAGAGGTATTTATAGATCGTCCACTAACAAAGTTTTCATATTAGCAATAGAATTTAAACTCACGATTTTGTGAATTATAAATTGATTCCTTACTAACTGGACAAACTCTAGTTGATAAAGCAAAAGTTAAAAAGCTTTGGTTTGAGAATACAGCGAAAAAGATGTCATTGATGCCTTTGTGGCCCAACAATGAATAAATCTACTTGAGGTTGAGCCTACTCCATTCTGTCTTCCCAATTACCCCATTTCAGTTCATGAAACGCTTTCCCAGGAAAATTGAATTTGGAATGGGAAAAAAAGTTGGTTTTAGATGTTAGGAAAATAAATAATTAAATAAATGTTTGTATCTTTTTAACTTCTTCAAGTCCTTTTTATAAGCTCCAATTAACTGTGTTGTGTCAGTTAGGAAAGTTCGTTGAAATCAGTTTTTTTTTTTTTTTTGTAAAATCTCATATATGTAGTTTCGCCAAGGCCTAGCCACTTTCTTAGGCCTCGAATTGAGTTGTGGGGATTTCAATGAAATAAGGGAGAATGGTATTTAAGTTTTTTTTTTAAAAAATGAATTAAAGGTAATTAGATTTTCGGAAAAAAATTTTGAAAAATAAATTTCATATATCAATGCAAACAACCATAAACAGGAATTCTAATTATAAACTAAGAGTTATATTTGAAAATCTTAGTCAGTTATACTTGAAATTTAAATGTGTTATACTATTAAGATTTTTGGATTTGTAATTATGCAAAATTAATACTCAGAATTCATTTCTTTTTAAAAATTTTGTGGAGATTCTAACTATGATTAATTCAATCATTTGGAACTTTACTATCATCCTCCCAAAACGAATAAAGGCCATAGATAGGCCGACTCATGGATGCCACTTTTTTACTTCACTTCTCTTTGCTTTACACACAAACTCCATGTGCCGCCGGGGGCAATATTGTCAATCTATCCCATGATTTTTTTCTTTAATACAAAAAGTCATCCTAACTAGTAAGTAATATTACCTTCTATTCTTAATATAAGAGCTAATTTTATTTTTAATTTAATTCTAAATATAAGACCCCAATCCACTAACTTAACAGATTTTTTTAATTTACCCAAATTAGTCATCGCTTAGTTCTTATATCAAGGATCAGAAGTAATAGTAGCTACTAATAAGGGTGAGTGCCTGAGCCAAAGACCAATTCTTATAAATTATGAGCTGACTTCTTAGTAGCTAAATCAACTCTTGTTGGTTGGATTATATGTGTATATTGTTCTACTTATTGAACTGTACATGGGCTTCTCTTGGGAAAAAATGTGTTATGTTTTAAATTTCCAACCCAATTTTAAGTTTGAACTAATGCACTATTTTCTCAAACCACATTTCTATATTTAGCTAAAAATTAAAAACGGGAATAAAAAATTCCATATAAATATTTGATACATCTTAATGAAAGTTTTTGATTGTGAGATTTTCCCCAGCAATACGAAGATAAGATGAAAATTCATCATGGGCCTGCTGATTATAAATTTTGGGCCTTCGAATTGGGCTTTCTTTCCGCTGATATACAGTTTTGATGTGAACGTTTTCATAGCTGGGGGAACAAGAAGGGCTTATAAGCCCAAAGCAGAAAGCAACAAGGAAACAGTAGAATAAGCAAAAGATATTCAGAAATTGGAGAGGTTTACCTTTGAGACCCAAGATATAATCTTTTTTAAAAAAAAAAAGGTATATTCTTTTATCTGTAGGGTTTAAATTTTCAATATTCTATTTATTAAATTTTCCATTGTCCTAAAATATCTTAATTCTGGTTGGATTCATGATATCCTTAATTTACTTAATAAATATTAACCATCGAGTTTGTTTAAGGCGTTGGATTCAGCAGTGATATCACCATTTGCTGTTATGATATGATCGCTAATAATATGCACTAAAATTATGAACCTGCTTTATGGAATAAATTAAAATATTCAAGAACAAAATCTGTAATTTTGTATTGTGCCATTTCATTGGTTGTACGGGGCAGAAAATTGCATAGCAAAGCCGAGTTTGAAATTTTAAGTACTACTTGCATTTAGGAATTAGGAACCATTATGTAACCAATGAAAACCTGGTTGCAGAAAAATTGCAAGAAGGTGAAGATAATATATATATAAGCGAATTTACTCAGGCTTTACAAAAATTAGAGATGATTTGGCTGAAGGGATGTCTAAGTGAGAGATGTATTTTTACATAGAAAAAGATTGAAAAAAAGGATTTGACTGTTCAGAGAGTAGGAGCTCTCTCAGCAGAGCCAGCAATGACAGTGAGCAAGTTGTTGCCAAAAGGGTCACTGAGATGCTTGGCAAGGTTCTCAACAGGACCTTCTCCTGTTACGTAAGCTTGGAAGTAAAACCCTAACATTGCAAACATGGCCAACCTTCCATTCTTGATCTCCTTAACCTTCAGCAGTGCAGCCTGGTCCGGGTCGTTCGCAAGCCCCAACGGGTCAAATGGACCGCCCGGATGAAGCTTGTCCTCCAAATCCTGCCACCAATCAATTAATCAAATCATTCTCTTTTGCTGCTACAGGTTAACTCATTCCTAGTCTCACACTGGTCTTATCTGATATAAAATGGAATGTCCAGTTCATAGGCTGCTTTATGGAGTACTTAATTAGGCTGGTTACTTCATTTCAATAAGTAGCTTTCAAGGTAGAGATTCTTCAAGGACCTAATGTGTGTTTGGTTTCACATTGGAGACTATCAGAACCACGATTTTGGTAGAAGTACGTAGTTATACTTCTACCAAGATCATTACTTCCGACAAAACCATGGTTTTAGTGATTTTTTTTTTTGTGTGTGTGTGAAAACATACTCTCAATGTCACCTAAGAATAAGATAATGTTTTAGAAGACTTGTTATCTGAATCACCCATTTTGACAAGTTATTATAAACTCACAGTACAGCCAGATGCCTTTAGACTTTCTTGTTTCAGACTTTCAGTTTAGATGTTACCTTTCATTGTGTAATATATTTATGGATGTAAGAATGATTGCTTAAGGTAAGTTGAGAACGGTACATACAAGGCCATTAATAATTCTGTAGTACTCTGCACCACCAACAAGAACAATCTCAGCAATGACAGCAGCAATAAGATTGATGGGGATGGGCTTTCCAAAGTAGTTCAATGTGTTCCCATCAAGAAGCAGAGCTCCAGTCTGTGATTGGTCACACAAACAAAAGTGTCATCATCTCATTTCAGAACAGTAAGAGCCACAAAAACTCAACAAAGGCCACTTGAAGAGTGACTACGCTGAAGTAGATATATTGCCAACAGTGAGTATAGAGAATAAGGGCTATACTCAAAACAATCAAATTCTGCAGTACAGCTTCAAGAAATTTGGCATCAACTCAAGATAATTAAAGTTTCTTTGCTCAGACTCAGAGATCCTAGAGGGCTTTTAATTGCCCTATGTATGAGGCAGATCTATTGAATTAGAGAGTTATAAAATTAAGAATTGTAGAATAACTTTGACACAGTGAGAGCAAGCAAACCTTGAACCAAACGGCCTCAGGACCACAGTTAGCCCCAAACTTGTTGAAGGCCTCAGGAATGATGAATCCAGCAGCACCAAGCATTGCCCACCTGGCGTGGATCAATTCATATGCCTGATATCTGCATTCAGAGATCAAGAATCACAACATTATAAATCAAGTAACGTAACACATAAATATATTCAGCAATTCTAACATGTGCTTGATTATGTATAGATTGTTAGTGTTTAACATACTTGGCGAAGTCCTCTGGCTTCTTGCTGAGACCAAACGGGTCATAACCATAGCTGCAAGCACACAGATCAACACAAATTAAGCAACGCAAGAACCAAAGTTTCACAATTAATTCCAAGATAAACCCATTTCCAGTTTGTTTCCTCAATTAAGTAACCATATCTCTCAATTGTCTGTTACACATTTCATCATGAAGCATCGTATCATTTGGAGTAACTAGAATGCCAGATGGAGTCAAAATATGGTTTCTTATGACAAAAATGTTAATCAGACTATAACGTGATGAGTCACATAGAATGTAAGAAAAGGAATAGAGCTTTTACAAGGGAAGACACATACTCTCCGGGAACTTCTCCGTTCAAGTACTCTGGGATCTCAGATCGGTCCAAGAGACCCTCAGGCAAGAAGATCCTTCTGTCAGGACCTATATGCACCCCACGACATGCAAACACAAGTTAATTATAAAGTATAAGCCACTAGTTTCAAGCGAAAAGGAGAAGGAGCTGAAGACTCACCGTACCACTTGGCGAGCTCATCGTTGGCCGGAGCGACGGCGGCGGGCTTTGCCTTGGAAGGAGGAGGAGGGGCAGCCTTTTTCCTGGAGAAAAGAGCGACGGTCTTGAAAGTGGCAGGGCTGGAAGGCGACGGTGGCGGAGCCGACCTGGTGGCTCCATTGAAGGTAAGAGGGTTTCCGAGCATCTCAGAGACGACGAGGGAGGCCATGGTCGGAAAGCCTCTGAGAGAGAATCTGGAAAGGAGAAGCTGAAGATGAAGAAGGAATGTGGACGGCGGAGGGAGGAGTAGGTGATAATAGTATATGCATGGTTCTGGTGGATGTGGACGTGCCACGTGGGATTCATGTTCGTGGGATCTGATTGGTTGTTGAACATGAGTAATCCAATGCAGGGATTTCATAGGTTGGTGCCTGATACAACGAAGATGATGGTGATGACGTGGAATGCTTTCTCAAGAGGTGGATTCTTCAGGCGTGGATTTGGATAACATGTTTTATCTCATTGGTTTCCGTATCATTCATCCTCGTCCGTTTTGTTTTACCTATGAATTTAGGTAAATTTCTTCATCAGTTAATGTTTCCGTAAATTTCTTCCAAGCAGGTGAAGCAATCTCCACCACAAACGCTGCTGCCCCACACTGTAGCCAAATGAGACCATTGATATCATAAATTATTGGGTTTTAACTTTTATAGAGATTTTTTTTGCTTGTTTAGATTTAGAACTCGGAAAACAAGTCAAACCTGTCAGATTGACCCGTATAAACCCGTTTAAGTTGAGCGTCAGGCTTGTATTTTGGAGTATTGAAAGGAAAGTTGCTTAAAAAGCCAGTCCTGTGAGGCTGAAAAATAAACGGGCCAGCCTTGTAAGGCTGCGAGTTAGCTTGTTTAAGCCCATTAATATTTTTTTAAAAATTTCTATATTTTTTTCTTAATTTAAAAAAATTCATAATGTTTTACATATAACACATTTTTAGTTTTACTCACATCAACAGCTCACACAAACAGTATTCATGAAAAAAAAAAAAACATGAAAATTACAAAGTGTACAACTAGATATATTCAAAAAAATGTATTGTTAATTATAAGTTGTCAAAACCTATTAAAATATTGTATGTGTAATTTTTATGGTCTTTATTTGTCATTCTCCCTTTTTTTTATGCTTGAAATAGAATTAATCAAAAAATCTTTTGAATTAAAATAAAGATTTATATCATTTTTATAGTTAGAAACGAATTTAGAACTAGGGATGATGGACTTTTTTCTTTTTTGTTGGTAGGACGAATGATTATTTTTTATGTATACTATGTTTGTTAGTTAAATTTTTTTGTTAATTATTTATAATTTAACTAAATCATCCATATTATAATTATTTACTGAACTTAGTGCTTATTTAGTTATTTATGTCTGTCTTATATTTAGTTTGTTTATTCAATAGAGTTTATTATACTGTGATAAATGTTTAGACATGATGATATTTATGTTTGTGATTTAATTTTATTTATATTTATACCTTTTATTAGTAATTTTATTGTTTCACTTTTATTATTTTGATCAAATAGGCTAAATAAAAAAATAATTGCATTTTAGTTAAACAAGCCAAAGCTCGTGAGCTGGCTCAAACCCATTATCTCATGAGTCAGGCTTCAAAAACTGCTTATTTATGAAACTCGGACTTAAACGGACCAGCTCATTTAAACCCCAACCTGTGACGGGCTGATCCGTTTTCCTAGTGTTATTTAGATTCGCCATTTCAATTTGCTTGCGAACAAACATTCAAATTTGCTGCAGATATAAAAAAAAAACATTCATCTTTATTATTACTACTACAACTATCTTGTCTTTAGTATAAAAACTAATTTGATTTTTAATTTGATAATACCTAAATCTTTTTTGTCAAGATAGTCTTTTTAATAGTTACACGTATTAAAAATTCTATTAAATATTTAAAGCTAATATAATTGATTAATAAGAATATTTTTATAAAAAAAACAGCACCTATTTATTACAAATAACAAACTTAACAAGTTTTCATAATCTACTCAAATTAGCCAACCAGCTCTTATATTAAAAGCTATGAGTAGTATTAATTTAGATTCAATTTTTTTAATCCGATAGAGTAATTTGTGCCTCTTTTGGTGTAAGATTGAAGGAAATAATCAACATATGAAAGAGTTTTTTTCCCTCCAACAAAGTCACAATTTTTATTCAAATCCTGAAAGCCAAGTCAATTAAAGAAGTTGTTATTTTATAATATCAATTGTTATTTTACGATTATTAATCAATATTTTTTTAAAACTTTATTGCTTATTAATCAACAATATTCTAATAAGCATGGGAGGGCGTGCATCAAGAAAACACTTCTATAATTCGATTCACACTATCCACCTTTTGTTTTTTTGGTTGTTCCTATTGTAACAGACGAGGCCTTATTCAGCCTGTTCTCTAAAAATTTCTTATATAAATCAAAGAGGACTTGGAGAATTTGTTAAGTAGCACAACCACTGAGGATAGAGGAATACAGTTACAGTGAGGCCAGATGATAACACATAAGAACATTCATTATATATCTGAGCATCTCATCTACCATCATACCAGACTACACATGCTATATTGTAGCTGCTATAAATTGACATTCATTATATATTTGAGCATCTCATCTACTATCATACCAGACTACACATGCTATATTGTAGTTGCTATGAATTGCTATATCACTAGTTTTAACAATTATACATAAAACAAATCAGCAAATTCAATTCCATTCATCTTCTCCACTTCTCAATTTCTCTGGTTGTCGTTCTGATAAGCTTTTTGGTATTGATGACGAGTTCATCCACAAGTGCAGCAATATCGTCCCTGTCGACAGCCAGGAAAATATTTATAAACCACAAGAAAAAGGATGACGAGATGAAATTGAAACCAATCCCAATCATTTCGTACACAGACAACTTCCACGGTATGAATCTGAGTGTACAGTGCAGGTATAACCTCTTGTTACCACTTTTTTTTTTTTTTTTTTTTACTGAAGTAATCCCAACAGTGAGACCAAGTTTTGTAGTCCTATGCAAATATTTTACTAGACCGTTCTAATATTTAAACTTTCAGCGTTTCTAATTCTCTCTCTTGGATGAGATTAACAGCTGTAGGCAACATTAAGGTTCAACAGCATTTTTAGCCCCTTTAATTTGCCCAAACTTGAAAATAAGCGATCTTAGTTTTCATTGCAGCAGTTCCATCGAACTAGTTTTCAAGTTGGAGTAATTTAGGTCCAGTGTGTTAACTTTCAATCAATACTATTTAAAAAGAAAATTTGTTGACATTATTTTTCCTTAAACTATATATCCCTTCACCTACTACTTTTCAAGATATAAGTTCTTTCAAACAGATTGGATATCTTGTGCAGATGAATGGAGGACTTTTCTAGTTGATGTACCTACATCATATGTAAAACAAATTTTGGTAAACTGGAGGGACCGAAACTGGAATTAAGCCTAAAACATTTTTAGAGTTCAGATCGTCCTATCTGCCTCATAATATGATGATATGGTCCCAACACTATGCTCCAATGAAATACTAATGTCCTTAAAATAATGAATATCAACAGAAATGAGTACGTACATTTTTGGATAATAACGGAAATTAGAGTAAAGAGCAGAAATCTTCTTATATGAACATTTTTCTGATTTTAAGCATGACTATTTATCGGTTTTACCTTATCCACATCTTTCTTTAACTTTATAACAAAAAACGACACATCAAACCAAAGATTAGTTTTAGCTTTAATATAGGAAAACAAATGGAACGATTTATCCAAATAATTATTGGTAGTTAAATGGAGCAGAGAAAAACATAAATTGCTTGACAAAATGAGAGCATTTACATCAACAGAGGCGTAAAAGAGAAAATGTACTTACTGAGAAGGAACATTTCCTGAGTTACGGAATGGATTTCCAACATTTGAGTACCTTTTGTTCTCATCTTGAGCAATTCCCCTCCCCACTCCATACCCAAACCCAATTCCAACCCCACAGCCAGCACCAAATCCATAACCAATTTGCAATCCAGGTATTCCAGGACCAAGCCCCACCCCTGAAGTCAGAAACCCATTAAGCCTTGAGGAAGCTATAAAAAGGGTGAAGAATACGTTCTAAAAAAAACCAAAACCAGCAACATAAGCTCCATTTCCCTCATAGCATAAAATGCAAGACGATGCCAATAAAAAGTTGCAGAACTATATGAGGTCATCGGCAAAAGTCACAGGAAAAGAGAATAGTATAAAAAGAAATATGAGAATGAGCACACTTCTTCTCACTTTAGCTATTAGTGATACATTATCCCCAAGCCTCAATTGGGATTAACTCCCATTAGCCAAAAGTTCTCAAAGATATATAGGCAAGCCCAAAAAAAGAAAAATCTTGCTCTGAACTTCAACAAAGTTAAACAGTTAGGGAAAGCTTCAAATGACAAAACTCCTCAGAAATGCTTGTCAAAGTCTTGATTAGATCATGAATTCAAACTGTATCCATCACTCAGAAGCCAAACAATTCAAAAATTGCCCACCAGCACACGGTTTCTTTCTAAATGGTGAAATAGAGATGCACAATAATACCAAATCAATAATACATCATAATCAAAAGAAGTACGGTTTGAAAGTGTTCTGCATGGCTTTTGCATTTTGACATCCAGTCCCCATTTAGGCCTGGTGAGCCCAAAATAAGTTGAACATAAAAGGAATAACACTAAACCCATATAAAGGAAAATAAGAAGGTCATAAGACACCGCAACAAATTACCATGTAGAGCTATTAAGCATCGAGGTGCATCCACTCAATTATTCAATTATTCAATATATCAAAGCTTATAAGAGATTACAATTACAAGTCCTAACAGTCATTCCATATTTCTGTTGAAAGCAATAACCTTAGCACTAGCATGTCAAATTAATGAAGACCAAAGTAGCATGAGATTCCTAGTCCTACATTGAATAATATGGATTGCTTTGTGAGATAATTAAGTGGATTGGTTCTTCCACCTTAAAATTTAGAAGCTTCTCCACCCACTTTGATGCTCATTAATAACACCAGAATTGTACCAGACTTCAATCACTAACGTTTAGTTCATCCTTTTTGCCCCAGCTCATCATCCAGACTTCAACCTCTCAGCAGTGGCCCCGTCCTCTGTATCCATTTTTTACATGATCATAACACCAGCCCTGTCCTAATTTCAGCTTTTCAACCGGTAAGCATTGGCCTCAATCCCTCTTTTCTCTCTGGT